ATAAAACCTAGATGAGTATATAATGTGCATATCCCCCTTGGCTGTGCATGGCCTCAATGGACGGGTTCCATTCAGCATGGAAGGCTAAGCTCTTCTGATTTAAAATAATAAAAAATGATAGATATTTTTCTGATTAAAAAAAAATAAAAAAAGAACTATGCCTTCTGTGCTAAATTCACATCTGCTCATCATACCTTCTGTTTCATTTTAATTTAAAGAGCAAAGTAAGGGAGAAAATGAAACTACATTTTAGCTGTACAATTATACAGCTTTTTAAAATATTTTTTCAGGGGCAAAACCTCTTATTTCACCACTTCATGTGAAGATTTTTATCAAGCACATACTTAATAACTTAGGCACTGTTTTTTATCTCTGAAAAACACAAGCTGAATAGGTGGAGGTGCTACTCAGTTCCACAAACACAACGCAACGCACTGTCCTTACTCAAAGTATTTTGGTTAGATGGGTATTTACACAGCACTTCAGTCCCAGAAAAAGAACTCCAAAAAAATTTCCCATCTTACTTGTCAGGAAATTGAAGTGAAAATGTAAAATGAGTTTTCAAAGAAGGCAGGAAACAAACAACAGGGGACTCACTAGAAATCAGCAGCTGTAAATTCTAATGCAGCCAAAGTATGGAATATCTGACTGTCCTAGCAGCAAGGGTAAAAGCCACATAGAAAATTTGGAACACATTGTCTTCTGATACCTGAAGCAAAAAGAACAGTCAGTAGATTCTGAGTGGCATTTATCTCCTCTGTTTTTGGTTTCTATTAGAGAGAGTCCCTCTGTGATCAGTAAAATGCATCAGTCATTGCAGGGTGTGATTCACCTTTCCTGCTTTAATGCCAGCTATTCAGACAGCATGATGTGATCAGATGAAGACCACCCAAAATGTCACATTTAAAATTTCTCTGATAAATAAAAAGAATTGGAATAGAAACAGATCTCAAGCCATGATAACTCCTGAGGCTGGGATAATTCAAACCCAGAATGCAATCTCTCAGTTGGCTTCCTGGAGATAAACTTTTAAAATAACTCGACTCAATGTAAAAGCTTCTGTTCCATTTTCATAGCAACTGGAAGCTTCCATTTCACTGGCTTTGATGCAAATTTATCTCCCAGATGCCATTTGATAGTTGAGAAAAATTTATCCCACAATAAAACCTTTTCTCTCTGGCACCTCAGGGATTTAATTTTGTCATTCTGTACATCTGACAGGGAGAAGCAGCTACTGCTGGGAGACAAGCCTCAGTACCTCAGCTGGGACTCACTTCCTATACAGCCCTGTGGAGTGCCTGAAACTGCCATGGCCCCTTTTTTCTCTGTAAAACAAGGGAAATGTAAACACTCCACATGAAATCTGAATGTCTCCACATTTGGAACAAGATAAAATTTGAATCGCAACTCTGGAGTTTTATCTTAATTCTTTGTTTTACAACTTCTGTTGGATGCTTAAATTAACTAGGCATCTCGTTTCCAGCTTTTACTCATGTGACAGCCTAAATGAATGTGAAAGCCTTGTTTCAGGCTTCTGAGTCCCTTCCTTCCCAACCTGCTCCAACAGTACAAAGCAGACCTCCCCCTGCCCCAGGCTGCAGTGCTCCCCTGCTCCCCGACCAGGTTAAACAAACAGGGAGATTCCTCCAGGGAAGTCACAGGTTCAAGATCACAAAGGACCCACCTCATTTGGGCCAGTTGGAGGTTTTTCTTGCTATTGTGCTTATCTGTATCTTCCCTGTCATCCAGACATTAACCTCTGACCCGTGAGCCCGCCTCTCAAAAAAGCTGTGCAGTGTTTACCCATTATGTAATGTCTGTGCTTTTGTGGAAATTTTACAGAAACAAATGGAGGAAGTTTGCCAGTCAAACGGCTGGACAATAAATCCTGTTCCATGTAGATAGAATGGTTTACTGTCACTGTAAGTCTGCTACTGGCATCTGTCACCGAAGAAATGTTTATAAATTTCAGGCACGGGAGTGCCAAAGTATTCCAGCACTGCAGGACTGTACATGATTTGTAGAACCACCACCACTGTGCTAGACAGGGATAGCCTTGTTTTGCTAGCCTGAATAAACAGAGTGACAATGTTTCAGATAAGTCAGGGTCACTAATGTTCAATATTTCTGTCTATTCATCTCCTAAGTTCATAAATACAAGTACCCAAATGGCTGTTTGTTCATTGTAATGCTTTTTCTCCCCTAAGATATCTTTTCTAGAAGTCAATCCAAGTAAGCAAAGTCCCTTCAGCCCCTTTTGCTTATTTCTTATGGGTCCTTTATTATTTATGCACCGTATGTTCCCATCCATCCTTACAATTCATCTTCTTTACATATCCTGTTGTCTCTTCTCCTGTACTGTTTCCTCTTCAGGACAAGACATTCTATTACGTCCCCTTTCTGGACAGTGTCATCACAGTTCCTCCTGCTGTGTAACTGGGGCTTCTATATATCATCAACTATGAAGTTAGGACAACAGAAAGATGTGTTTGGATAAGAAGCAGGAACAAATATAATTTGGAACATGGGACATGTAGGTAATGTAATTCTTCCTTCACTGATTCTTTCAGCCAAGGGCCTGTTGGTGCAACAACTGAATGGAGCTTTTCACTCCGTGTCAATGGGAGAAGCACTTGGTCTTAGAGTTCTGCTCTAATTAAGTTTTTAAATCTCATTTCCTTTCAGAAGAGAGAAAACATTGTTGTGACTAAGCTTTGGATGTGGTAACAAATCCCTGGCAGGTTGGTTTGTTTTAACGGACGTATTTGATTTAAGGAAACTTTTACCATCTTTTCTGCCCTTAATCACAGCTTTTATTACAATTACAGTAATGCAACAGAGGTACATGCCAAAGGCAATATGTATATTTTTAATGAGTTGACATGCAACCTTCCTGGAGAGAATAAACAACTTCATTTGCTGAACATTTCTGAACCATATCTAGCAATTTATTAAGGGGAAAGGAAATGTTCAGAAAAGCATCTACCACAAATTCAGAGGCTTCAGCAATTCACAGATGAGCAGTCTCATAAGACAGACTCAGTCGTTGTGCTAGATTTAGCAAATTTTTGCTGAATTGTAACATTTTCTATTGTCCTCAAACAATAAAAGAGAAGGTTAACAGGCAATATCCGGACGCTCAAAGATTATTAATCCATGCATGTGGTCCTGAGTCACTGGGCTGTAAAACATCATCAGTTTCCAAAGATGCAAACCAAAGGGGAATTCTGCTTGAGAGAGATGCTATCACAAGCCCAAAGGAACTAGTTGCATCAATAAGGCCTATTTATGCAAGTTTTACAAGACATTGGCTCCCAGGGGTTTTCATTCTGGTAGAATTAATTCAGGGAACAAAATGAGCATAGGCAGAGAACACATCCTATGAGTGAAAAGCCTTCAGCCTGGTTTCGTGACTCAATTTACCTTACAGCTAGGATACAGGTCAGACACTGGTACACACAGGAAATCACAACAGGCTGACAGGCCCACATCAACCAGGCTCATTCACCTGAGGACTAAAGAGCTCAGAGGGTCAGCCTCCAACAGCAGCACACACAATCCATTCTGTTAAACTATTCCTGTGGCTGCTGTGGTCTGGGCCAAACAACACATACAAACAATAGCTGGTCATGTTTTTTTGGAGGTTAACACAGGCCAAGGACCATTTCCAATACAACCCTGGCTGTGTATAACCTGTTTTTTAGAGGTAAAAGTTTATCTGTGGGGACCAGAGAAGGATTCCTGGCTTGTGGAGCTGTGACCTCACTGACCTCCACATACCTTTTTCTGAGACAAAACTATCAAAGGAAGACACTTGAACACCTCGGGTAGGTATGACTGCATGCTTGCCTTCTCCTTGGTCACCAGGAAACTGACTTCAATTAACAGGAACTCAAGCAACAAACCATAGGAATTCACTCAAAAACGTTATCAACCAGGAGCCTGATTTTGACAGGCACTGCAAGGGAGTGACTGTCATCATGTCCAGTTTGTGCAACAGAAGTGGGGCTGTCCAGGCTGGCAGGACAAACCCCACTGCCCATCCTGCTCTTGTTCTGTGTACAATCCTACACTGAGCCTCCCACAGAGAGCAGCACACCCACAGACCCATGGAAGGTACAGCCCCTCACTGCAATCCAAGTTACTCTGGCACATCTGTTTGGATGATTAGTAAGTAAAATTTAACTGATAGAAGACAGAGCCCAACTGGAAATGTAGGAATGTGTTTTTACTACTATTAATGCAATCAAAACTTCCTTCTTGCTATTATTACTGCGTTAGCATGTCAATTCCATTCCAAATTGTTTTAAACTGTTAACTTACCAAAATACCTGGAATATAGCGCAATTCATGTTCTGGTTTTCATTCTAAACTTCACATAATTTATCTGAAATTATTCTGCTTCTTAAAGTTGTTTCTCTTGCTAGAATGTGCAAAATTTATGTACAAAATGCACTGGAAGAACGTTAATCTTTCTTTTTATGCCCACAAGAGTGTTGAAATTGAGTGCATAAAGTAAGTTCTATGTGTCTTTGTAGGCTGAAGGTCCTTTTCTGAATTTACCAATATTCCAATTCAGATTACAGAGTCTATACAGCTGGCTAAAACAGCTTAAGAAAAACAGATGCAAAGAACTCTTTGTGAAACTGATTACTGATTTACATTCACCATCCAATATGAATGAAATGCAAAACATGGCAGACATAAGTCACATAAAGCAGATTATAAAAAGAGTGTTTTAATCACACGAGAAGTCAATTCAGTAGTATAGGTCAGTTTACTTAAGAAATATATATTCTTTGGGAAAATATTTTGTTGTTTTGCCCTTGATTTTTTTTTTAATTTATTCATATGAGACTTTCCTGCACCCATAGTCTTAATTTTAGAGAAGACCAGACCTGTTATTCTTCAAAACTCATCCTTTAATATTAAAAAACTACCCCAACATTTACTAAGCGAGAAAAATACAAAAGATGGTTTAACACAGAAAAGGTGCTCACCAATGCAGTCGACACTGAAGAGATTTATGGAGGTTGTTATTGAAGACTCGTCACAGGTCTTCATGCCCCGCAGCGCAAACCTCACCAGGGAGGCCTTGAGTCCCTCGGGGAGGAAGGAGAGCAGGTACACGGGCATGTACAGGGCGTAGCGGAGCTTGCACAGCAGCGGGGTCATGAGCTTCCCCTGCGGGGACTGAGCCATGCGCTCGATGGTGGGGAACAGCAGCACGGAGCGCAGCACCTGCCGGGACACAGAAACCACGGTCAGCAAGGGCACGGCACACAGCCCAGCCTGGCACACGCCACCTTGCAGGAGCTCCAGAGCAACGGGACTGAGCTGCCAGGCACACACTGCCCCTCAGGCTGTGCGCTGTGCACAGGTTCAGTTTTTTAAAACATGAAGCAAATCAGTACAGGGTCACGAAATTGTGTTTTATGCTAAGACAGAGAAGAACTCAAGAGGTGAGCGGTCTTTGGAGATGATTTGGAACCGGGAAGCACCAGCAGGAGGAACCCCAGCAGAGGGCAGCAGGCAGGAGCCCTCCACTCCATCCCGGCGGGCTCTTTACGTCAGGAAAAGTATACTGCTCTTCATTTCACCTGGTAAACTATTTTCTCTAAGTAAACCAACCAAACAAATTACAACTGCTGTGACAACACACATGGTTTTCAATTTGCAGCTCAAAACAGGTAAACTTGGTCAGAACAAAAAGCACACAGCCTCTTCACTACAGTGCGTATGCTGGCATAAAATATTGCTTTTTATATGTCATAACGATATAGAGATTCTGAAGGTGGTAGTTAGTTTATGTTATAATAATACACTAGCCTTAAAATACAAAGAAATTAATTAAAATCACACCCATCCATACTAATCAAAAGTGAGTTAAAAACACCTACTCTTAGTTATCTTTCAATGCTGATATCAAGCAAATATTCTAAAAGAAAAACTGCAACTTTTTTCTGGAAGTAAAAATATATTGCACTCATATAGGAATACCCCTCAAAGAGACACAGCCCTACCTAATAGAAGTATCAATAAAAAAATGTAAGAGGATCTGGATATTGCATTGTCAGATAATAAGGTATAAACAGCTGGGCTTTCTTGGTGACTCAATATGAATAAATGTTACACATCTGCTTAGTGCATATCACTCTACATGTTGTGCAGATTAGATTATTATTTTTGTAAAATATATTTAATGATAATTTTCTTCACTCCCACATGAGACGCAGCTTATGTATGTCACAACACCTGGGCACAGCACTCCTGGTCCCAGCAGCCCTCCAATGGAAGACAGGGAATGCCACCAAGAGATGTTTACAAAATCTGGGCATTGTGACAGAACAACAGCAAACACTCATGAAATATAATAAAACCACAGAATTCTTTAGGTTGAAGAAGGTCTTTAAGATCACTGAGTCCAACTGTTAACCTAGCACTGCCACATTCAGAAATAAACCACGTTCCCAAGTGCCACATCTACACATCACTTAAATACCTCCAGGGATGGTGCATCAACCACTTCCCTTGGGGAGCCTATTCAGTGATTGATAACCCTTTATGTGAAGGAAAGTTTCCTAATATCCAATCTAAACCTCCCCAGCAGAACTTCAAGCTGTTTCCTCTTGTCTTATCGCTTGTTCCTTGGAAGAAGAGACTGATCCCCACCTGGCTACAACCTTCTTTCAGGTAGTTGTAGAGCAACATGGTCCCCCTGAAACTTCTTTTCTCCACTCATCTCCTTCAGCTGCTCCTCATCAGTCTTGTGCTCCAGAGCCCTTCCCAGCTCTCTTGTCCTTTTCTGGACACGTTCCAGCACTTCAATGTCTTTCTTGTCATGAGGGGCCCAAAACTGAACACAGCACTCGAGGCATGGCCCAGTACAGGGTGACAATCACTGCACTTGTCCTGCTGGCCACTGACAATCATGTGTCTGGCGCTGTGTAGCTGGTCACCAACCATTTCCCCTCAGATTATGGGGGCTTCATTCTGCTCACTGTCCATGTCTGGATACTCAGAGAACAGCTGGTCAGAGTCAGGTATTGATCTGCTGGCTCTTCCTGTTTCTTCCCTCATCATTCCCTGCAGCTAAAAGGACAGAGAATACTATCTGCACTTTTGATTCTTTAACCAGTTGTCCCAAGGTCCTGAAGTGTCTCTTGATTATCCTTGGGCTCCTTGTTGCAATTTCACTGCTGTCTACCTCAAGATTCAATAACGGGTAATCCAAGAGCTGTAGCAGGGTAGGAAGATGGGAAGCCTTCTCTCCCCATCTTTAACCCAGCTCAGGGAGGCAGCAGGCTTCCATAAGTGGGTCCTTCTGTTCCTTTCAGCAGTCTCCTATGAAAATGACTCATCTTTTTTTTTTCATGGAAGCAGTTTTTATGGAAGCAGGTTGTAGACTGACAACCTCAGCAACACCTCCAAGCCAGGTGAGCCATTGTTCTGGTTATTGTTCTTGCAGAGCCTCACACCTGGAGGTGTCACTCTGGGGCACCTGGAAAGGTGGAGAAGTCCCAGAGGAGACACACCGGCTGTGCCAGACAGGAACTTATCACCATTAGCCCCTGTCCCTTAAGTCACTGTGCTCAGCCAGAAGGACAAAGGGCAGGGAAACCTCTGTGTCATTCATCCATCATCAGAAACTTCTACTCACAAAATTTTAAAAGCAGACTTTGAAAGAGTTATTTATATAAAATATAGAACTATTTTAAGAAATCCTTCTGCTTTCCAGCTGATACTACTTTGGTTTGAGACAAAGAAAAATACCTTCTCAGGGAAATCAATCCTGGGCCTCTTTTTATTAAAGGCAACCAGCAGCTGAAGTACAGGAATGCAAAACTTTTACTAAATTACATGGTAGTTTCGTGATATTTCAGCTAGGAGCTGAACCCAAACTGTTGTGATCTAAAGCAGATTTGACCTGGGTTCCCAGGCACACTTTAATCCTTTGACATTGCAGTTTATAGATATAGGATTAGTTGCTTGGATGGCTATACTAACCATGGGGAAAGCTGCTAAACCTTGGCAGGAAAACAACAAACCAGGAAAGCTGTTACCCTGTCCTGTACATTCCTGCATTTTGTAATGGCCCAAAAATTTAAAAGATGGAGGATAATTTTATTTAATTTCTTTTAAAAATCTTTTGCAGACAATAACAGAGAAATGTAAAATTCGTATTTTTCAAACCTTTATCTGCTATTTCTTAGTTTACTGCTGGATTCCCAAGCCAGGATCTTGAAATGTGCATTTGGCTGCAGAATTGCTTAAAAGATTTAGTTCAATTTCTTTGCAATGGAAGTGTAGATATGACAGATTTAACGCACTTTGTTATAATGACACATATAATGATAAAAAAGTATGTCATAATTGTGTCTTGAAATAAGCGAAGTAGAAATATTCAGGTAAAATTAAGGAAATTAATAAGACTCAAATGCTCAGTATCAGTTAATAGTTTTTTTAAAAACTTTTGAAATGCCTGAATCTTATCTATACAAAGTTTACACTAGCTGAAATCAGGTAGATGGCACGGGATTATATTCAAGTTAAAATTTTCAGAATTATTATAAGACCAATTATTCTGGAAATGGAGGACACTGCTTGTCATAAGCACCAGGTATTGCCACAACTATGAATGACACATAAATACTATTAAATAATGTGCAAATGTTAATGATCCTCTTATTTATAGAAACCCTTCTCATAATTCATGAAGTTTCTTGAGATTAGTCAAGATACAAAAAGTATTACAAATATTTATTTATATAATAAAAATATATCCATACATATGTAAGTTTAGATATAATGCACAAATATTAAAAATATTAGAGACTAAAATTCAGATTCATGTAGTTTAAACCACCCCCAATTCAAAGTCCAGTAATATTATCTGTTAAGCATATGGAAAGGCAGAGAGCTGAGCAAGCAGTGACACTGGAAACAGTGACTCGAGTGGATCCAGGGACTACAGAAAGTTGGCCAGTGACTCCACTGAAGGCAAACACACCTCGTGTCCAGGAGTTGCTGAGAGCTGTACCACCTATCCTTGACTCTGCTTTGGTCAACCCACTAAAAATAGCTCAAGTATTCTTAAATTATACTGGAATTGTCACTATTGATGATTGTGACAATCAACAGTATTTGTACAACTGTAGATCAATTTATTTACCAGTTATTCACTTATCATGCTATTGAACTGTGAGATTTCAACAGTCAGGACAGCACATACACTAAAGCTCACTATTCAAGGCATAGATGCTCTTTCAGTTAGTCACCAAGGCAACTGCTTCTATTTCATCATTAATTTTTAACTCTACATTTCACAGGGCTCACCAAATGGTTTAAGGGCCTACAATCTGACGCAGAGTCTCAGAAGTTCTACATTTTCTTAAGAACCAATAGCTAACATTACCTGCAAACTCTTCACATAACTCATGAGGAAGCCAAGGCAGCTCCTACTCCCTTGTCTGGAAGTGTATATATATCACATAGAAAGTCAAATGGTGCATGATCTGAGCGTGCATCCAGAGAACAAATCAGCCCAGAATGTTCTGCCCTTGATTCTTTCAACACACACCACAGGAGGAAGGCGTGGGGACTTCGGGAGTTTCCCTTTTGACACTGTTTATATATTTTGGTATCTAGAGCAATCAGTCCATTAACTTCAGGAATGTATGACCTGCACAGTAAATTTTAGAACACAGAGGGAAGAGAAACTACTTATTTTACAGGAAAAGTGAATTCTCAGAGCAAAGGATATTAAATACCCATTCCGTAAAAGCATGGTCTTGACCAAGGTGCTTTGTTTAGGAAGGATCTCCAATGAATATGATTCACTTCCCATGATCACTGGTCCATATAAATATTAAAGAATAAAGCAAAGGCTTCCAGCAAGCTACCTACATAGAGAACACATACATTCCTGTACATCCAGGCTTTCAATTGAGCTTTTACATAAATCTATCCAAAGATGACAAAATGACAACTGAGTACCTCCACAGCTTCACTGCATAATGGTTATGTCAATTTGGGTTTGGATTTGCAGCAAAAGCTGGAAGTTGTTTTGTTTTGATTAAAAAGAGAATAGAGTACAAAAAACCAAATCATTAAATTTACAATAAGTTGCTGTTTAACACCGCACAATTTAATAGTCTCAACCACACCAGCAAAGGATTTTTGTAAAATGTTTAAATGGTTTCCTTATAAAAACACAAGTATGCAAACTGGATACAGTTAAA